TGTTAATTCTTCTTTTTCTTGTATAGAAAGTTCTATAGCATTACCTAACTCTTCTTCAAGGAATCGTATTCTTTCTTTCCATATACTTATAACTCTTTCTAAGGTATATAGTCACTGTTCAAAATTCCTATTTGATTCTGCCAATTGCGATACCACCTCATAGAGTTCTTGGTTAGTTTGTTGTAACTTGTCTATTGTTTTTTATTACTATAATAAAACAAAGGAATAGAGAAACCCGTAATTTATATTGACCCACAAAGGGCCTATAATTTGGATAGAGAAATTATTTTGCAAAAAATTTATTATAGGCCTGAAGGTTATTATTGGACAGCTGAAAAAATATAGGATGCTTGTAAGAAGGCAGGATATGAATTCACTTTGGCTATAATAAAAAATTGGCTTAACAAACAGGCTTTATATCAGATCTATAAGCCTCGGCCAAAATTTATCTAATATGTTTTTTTTAATAGTATACATAATTTAAATGAAGTATATTAATCGGATACTACTCCCATGCCCTATGATAAAATTGGCAATCAAATTTACAAGCAAAGAGGAGTAATAAAAGATGTAGCAACTAGATTCCATAAAAGTTATGCTTTAACTAATAAGTTATCAATATCATTAGCTAAAATTTTTACGAAAATTTATGGTGATCTGAATTGCTCTCTTACCTGGCTTAAAGTTTTAATTGTAGATAAAGGTACTGAATACTTAAGTGAGTACAAAGATTTATTACTTAGCCATGGTGTAAAAATTCAGTATGCTATAACTAAGAAAGGTGTTGCTATCGCTAAGCGTGATCATCAAGAATTTGAAAAATATGCTTTTTATAGACAAGATGCTGTAGATTTTCATTTACCATTAACTAAGAGATATAGAGCTTGGGTTAAAAGCCTTCGCATAAATGATAATACTTTTAATAATACTGTTACTGAATTAATACATATGTCTCCTAATGAGGCTGTAAAAAAAGCATTAAAAGATAAAAAAATATTTGCAAAGCCAGCAGTAAAACATAGAAGACCTGTTGGATTTGAAGAACCATGTTTGTCTTATAAAGATTTTGTTCGATATTATTTAAACCTAGTGAGTTAGAATATGGTCCATCTATAAGACTGATTATAAATAAAAATTGGTCTCCTCAGGTTTATCAGATTGAAAGTACTTTAATTCGTGAAGGTCAATCTGTTATGTATAAATTAGAAGATGGACCAGAAAAAAAATTTGTTTGTGAGCAATTACAATTGATTAAGAAAGTTGAACTTCCTCCCACATGGGTGCTTAAATAATAATTTACTCATCTATAAGTATATCCTCAATAGCTTTTTCAATTTCTGTTTCACTCATAAGCTGATCCTTTTTGGATAGCTCATAATAAAGATTATATAAATCTTCTATACTAGTAAGTAGTTCCTTTTTACCTTGATACCATTTTCTGTATCTTGACATTCTTTTATTATATGCATCATTATTTGGGAAAAGTGTTATTGCTGTATATTTTATATACTCATCTTGGTTATCTGCATTATACAAATTTTTTATATGTCTAGCATATTCACTAATAAGCTTACTATCTTTTCTATACTGAAAACGAAAGGCCTCTTTTATTATTTTGATTTGTGCTGATTCAATCATTTTCCATGTAATATCTTGTATCATTATCTCTGAGCCCTGCTTATTTATTAAACTTGAACTATTGTCTATCATACTTGGTTTATACTTACTTTATATTTTGTTTTATATAATATAATATAAATTTATTCAATACGAGTTTTATTATCCCACCTTCTCATAATTTCATTACTCAAAGCTAGATTATTTTTGAATATGTGATAAAAAAAGCAGTTATCTTCTAATGAGTTTTTTAATTACTCATCTATTACCATAAACTAGTCTTCGTCAAATATATCTTCTATAATTTGAGATGCAATATCATTCTCATTTCATGAGTTAACTTCTATTTTATTAATTTCAATAATTGATTTACTATTTTATCTGTTATTCATTCACAATTTTGTATTTTTATAGTTTTTTATATTTGTACATTTTTCTGGTATACTTAAGATAATTTTTGGCGCTATTCGATTACTTCCATGGATAAATATATGGTTTAGATTTTTGCACATATCCAATGTTATCTTTAGTGAACTATTGTTAAGAAATCCCCAACCACAATCCTTAAATAATATAGTTATTATATATTGGCATATACTTGCAATGTCTTCTAATAGAAATTCATTTATATTAAAATAATTATCTATTCTTTCGAATTCTATCTGTTTTATATATTTTATCACATTCAGTAATAGTTTCTTTTTTTTATTATTTTGACAAAATTTCTAATATTATATCTATATAATTTAATCCTTCTCCATATTAAATATGTTGCGCATTCATTCCATCGTTTGTTAACATATAAAACTGGAAACAATAATTCATTATTATTACATAATCTTTTATTTTGTGTTTATAAATGTTGAAATATTTCTATTATAATTTCATTTGGAAGATTTATATCAGACTTTTTTGATAGTTTCTTTTTTGCTATCTGTAAAGCAGGATACTCTGTATCTAATATTGTATTCTGCTTTTTATCTTGTTGTATTTTCTCAAAATCTGGTAAACTATTTGTAGAGCGAAGCTCATTTTCTTTGAAAATAATCAAATTTGAAATTTCTGGATATGATGGTTTTTATATAATTGATATACAATTTTTTACTACACAAACTCCATTTTTCTCAAATTTCAGCTTACCTATTTCTATTCCCGTTTTAAGTTTTACTTTTCTAGCTATAATAAAGCCATCTGTATATATATGTTTTACATGATCTCCTAGTGGCTTCACAATTTCTGATATTCTTTTTCATGCAGATGCTAATAAGAATGGTTTTATTCATAGATATAAACCATAATTTTGTCCATTTCTTTGCTTACATAATACACCCCATAATGAAACTAATAATGCTTTACTAACTTTTCCTTCTATTCCACCTTCTTTTTTAATTTTGTATAATATATTACCCATTCACCAAACATGACTTTTCCTGTTATACGTATATTTCTTTTATAAATAAGTGCATTTGGTGATATATTCATTAATGTTACTTTCAATCCATTTTTTCGTGCATATTCTAAATCATAATGTATATAAATTTCATGTGGATTATAACGTAAATATCTTGTACATTGAAGACTTTTCTTTAGAGGATTTCCTTCTATTGTTGCTTTATAAATTTCATATGGAAATTTACTCCATTTTTCTGTAAAAGATGAGTTTATAGTATGAAATTTACCTGGTGCAATTGGCCATGATGCATCTTTTTTTATCATTTCAAATATATATATTAAATTTACATCGTATTGATTAGTTTCTTCTTTATATCTTTCTGCAAATATTAGAGCACCAGTTGTTGCTAAATCTATCTATGCACTTTCTTGTTCACTTATTTTTTCACTTTTTTGGGGTGCTAAAGTGGTTTCTTTGAAAAATTTTATAGTTGTTAATGTATAATTTCCAGATTTATGCATATCAATTCTACCATTAGTTTTTTTAGCAATAGCTTCAAACTCATTATTAATTCTTTTGTATGCTTCCATAATTGTTTCTCTATTATTTGCTTTAATAAAATGATATTTGTTATGTAATACGCAAAAATCTTCTTTAACTCCATACTATTTTTTTTTCCCATCATAAAACTCAAATCCATTTGCTATATTTTTATGAATTAAGATGGTTTTATCTTGGTAACTCATGCTATTTTGCTTTGAACTAGATGATGCAAAGTATCGGGATGTTGAGTTTCGAGTCTTTGACTTATTTCTGATTCTCTTATCTGGGGGTCGACTGCCAGCGCACTTGCCTCTCTCAGCTAAAGTGTTGGTAGGTTTTCATCAAACAATATAAGATCACCTTCAGGAGTTGATAGCGGATTTTGCTCTAGAGTAACATTTTCAATTTGAGGTGTATTTTGCTCTGGAGTAACATTTCCTACATTTTGCATTATAAGCAAAGCTAGTTGGCATTGTCCTTTACGAAGATTTCTATTTAAATTTATGTGTTTATTAAGATCTCGAGTTTTACCAGTTCTTATTTTTCGATCACAACCTGGACATTTAAGTATCTTAGCCATAGTAATATGTTTTTTCGGTGTTTTTTATTAATACCAGATCTTTTGTTTAAATAAAAAATAATTATTCATTTATTAAAATGTTTCGTGAATATATTGAGGGAGGTAAATATATCAAAAAGTTAGGGGTAAATATATATGCGAATATATATACAATTCTGGAGAAGTTTGCGGACGTGGGTGTCGACGTTCTGAAGAGTGCCATGAACATTGGAGATCTAAAAAATGTGTTTTATGTAATGATTGTGAAAAACCTACAGCTTCTGCTTGTGGATGTTGCAAAAAACATTCTAAAGGATATTTATTATGTTATGCAATTTTATATGCTTAACAACTTCAGATGCTTGAAGACCACCCATGATTTTTCGAGTCATTCTTCGAGCCTGCAAGACAATAAAATTTAACTATCTTTTTTATCATAAAAACCTAATTGATAACTAAAAGATTACTATGCTCCGCTTCGCTCTACAACTGCGTCGCTCACACCTAAGGTGTATACTCCTTAGTATTAAGAACCTAATTGTGAATTAAACAGATAACTAATACTACACTACGCTTCGCATTCGGAGTCGCTATGCTTCTCCAGTACAAAAAACTAAATAGAAATCAAATATGATAACTATGCTCCACTTCATTCCGCAATTGTGTCGTACACCCTTAGGGGAGTGTACTCCTTAGTAATAGAAAGCTAAATAGTAATCGAAATAGATATCAAAAAAGTACACCAAGCATAAAGTATATATAAAAATACACCATTCATATAAGTTTTTTATATATTATATATAAGTTATATAAGTTATCAAGAATATAATAAAAACTTAAAAAAAAACAAGAATGAATAGTGTTATCAAAAAAAAACATAACCGTGTACCTAAAAAGCCCACTATTCTACTGCTACATTGCTATACTAGGCTTTTCTATAATAATTATCTGTTGCTTGAATTATAGATCTATTTTCTTTTTTTTTTTTTTTTTGGCGATCCTGCTTTTATTATCTAAAAAATACATTATTATATACTCTAATTTAACTCTATACTATTTGTATATTGTCAAATCTTTTATTACTAATAAAGTCTCACTTGACTTTAACATAAACCCAGGTACGATCTGCCATTATGGCTTTTTACCTCTTCACAAGCTTCTTAACCTTACCGAAAGAGAGCTATAAGTCTTTAAATGGAAGCCGCCAGCCTTATCAGGATCGTGTTTATTTTGTATTTTTCTGAAAGAGCATTGGTTTAAATAGAGAGGTGGAATAATAAAACTCGTATTGAATAAATTTATATTATATTATATAAAACAAAATATAGAGTAAGTATAAACCA